CTATAAGTCCCTCCCCCAGCCTAAGGAATAAAACGCCGAGCTAACAAAAGACCTCGGCACCACAAAAGACATAGTTGTCTCTTTGGCATGGACAAAGTACTCTAAAATGCCGAAGGTATAGGCAGCTCGAGTATGAGCACCTATAGTAGCTCGGGCATATCAGGCAATTCGACAAGCGAAGTAAACAATGCGTAGACAGGTCCGGCATGCACCCTACAATGTCACTCACTTCGGTGTACACCTCGTGAAATTGCCCCTAAGTGATAGTTCGGGGTAACCGCTAAAGAAACCCCCACTTCGGTCATCTAGCTCGATGGCTTAACAATTCGGGGAAAATTACATCCTTAATTTGCGATTAGAAATAAGGTAATTGCATGACACTTGGCAAGAAAAAGTGTTTCATTAACTCTACAGTTCATTACAAGGACAGAAGAAACAAAAAATGCTCAGCTCGCAGGCTCAAAATACAAAGACTACTCGAACTACTTGGGGGACTCGTCACTCTTGCCCGAAGCCTCCGCGGAAGTACCAGCCTGGTCGGTGGTATTAACCTCTCTAATGTCATCGTCACCCTCCTCCTCGGAGTCTGAGTCTTCAGCGGCTTGGAGGTCTACCTCTCCTGTGATTCGCGAGGTAGTGATGGCGCTTACATCGAGCTGCGGGAACTCGCTTTTGATCGGCCATCTACTGAGCTTGAAGCCTTTGTAGTAGGCCTCCACCAATGCCCTATCAAACTCTTCCGAGTTCTTGTAGTCTTCGACAGCCTTGACCTTGGCCTCGTCCATGGCCTGGAGAAGAATCTCAGTCCGCTCCTTGACGTCGGCCTCGAGGTTCTCTACTTGGCGCTTCAGAGTCCCTTTATTCGTCTCAAGATTTTCCACCTTGCACAACAGGTCTTCCTTCTTCGACATCAACAACTTGATTAACTCTTTCTAAGCTAGCGCATCGCCCTCTAGCCAGGCCGCGAGCTAATTTCAGCTCAGTGTGGGCCTCACGGGACGAGCTCTCGGCGGCTAGATCCCGCTTCAGGTGCGTCTCGGATTAGAGAGTCAAGGCGTGCACGGTGTTGTTCACCTGCCAAGAGTGCCATTTAACACCAATAAGGCTACAAATGCAGAAATTGAAGTTTAAACAAGACTTACCACAATGCAGTAGGTAGCTACTCGAGCTTTGAGCTGAGCAGGCGATAGTTCGGCTCTGTTGGAAACTTCCTCGACACACACAACCCCTTTGCTCTTGCGAAGGCTGTATTGCGGGTTCAGAACACTCCGGGCTGATCCTTTGCTCCCCAAAGTAGTAACAGCTATCTCAAGAGCAAGTCCCGTAGTTGTCTTGAGCTCCTAAGGTTGGGCCTTCTCCGGTTCCTCTAAATCAATCACCGGAGCACCAGAAGGTTGTTCAGGATTGGGAGTAGGAGGCCGTAGAGATTCGATGCGAGCTCTTTTGACAGCCCGCTTATTCTTTCCCTTCATTTTCCCGAAGAGCCTGTCCACGCTGAGCCACTCCATGGGGCCTGCAACAAAGCTCAACATTAGCAACACTATCAAAAAGAGATGACCACTACTAAGGTAAGATACTAACTCTAGACCAAAGCAACCTACTAGGGCTCAAGCCGACTTGTATGAGCTTATCCTCGGTGATATAGTCCTTGTAGTCGAACCTGAGCTCTGCCCAAGATTGAAGCATCTCTCTTGTTTTTAGGTCTAGCCTAATACCGGAGTCCTGAATGGCTGCCCTCCAATGAGTAGGAAAGGGCCACCCCGCGGAATTGCGGACTACGAGGGATTTTATTGGGAAGCTCGTGCAACAATTTATAGCCCGAGCGAGGGGACAGATAGTAGGCCCGCTTATGCTCAGGGAGAACACTAGAGGCATTCTTCTTTGTGGATAAGATAGAGGAGAAAATGTCGAGATCGAGGGGCAGGGCGTAGTCGAAGCAAAGAGAAATTGTCCCGACCACATTCCGAATGGAGTTCGGGTGAAGTTGGTCTATGGTGATGTTAAAAAACTTCAAGACCTCTATGATGAGGGGGTGCAGAGGAAGACAGAGTCCAACCGTGAGCTATTCTTCGAAAATCACGATCTCATCATGATTGTTTTCCCAAGGGAAGTTGCCTGCGGGAAGGTTATAGGTATACACTCCCTCGGAAGGTTATACTGACGTATCAGGGCCCTAAGTCTATCTACAGTCATAGTTGAGGGACCGAACTTGTCCGTTACCCGAACTCGATGAGAGGTGGATGCTGGGTTATACGAGGCCTCCCGCGCCTCATAGGTTGACTGTGCCTCAGAAACACCTACTTGAGCTGAGGTACCCACCTCAGGCTCATCTAGAAGACTATCGAAACTTTGGTTTGACATAATTGCAAACTGAAATGAACTGAAAAAGAGAATCTAGGGAAACTCACCAAGGGAAAACGATCGAACTAGGAAGCTGACGAACTGGAGAACCCGAGCTGAGGAGTTTAAGCGCGACCTCAGAGTGAACGCTAGTGAACTTATGGCGGAGAAAATGACTTGGGTCCCCCTATTTATAGCCGCTATATCCGAGAATCAACGGTCAAGATCAGAACGATCCAACGGCTCTGAAGAAAACTGGTTGTGCGACCCCCGAGGTGAAATCAGTTTAGCGTGTTTTTGGCGTCCGCAGAGTCTATAGATCGCGTGACGACCGCGCGTGAACTGTACGCAACCTGGGTTATCCTTGATTGAGCCGAACAACGAACTGGTCTGACCAACGAACTATCTGACTATACGACCTAGACTTCGAGCCAAATCCACCCGTCACGTCATGAACTCCCCACACCAGGTCAGGACCCTTGGCCCGGGGAGTGGGGGGCAATTGATGGAGGGTGATTTGGCCCGACCTCGTAATAAGGGGACACATGGACATGACTCGACATAAGTGACAACTCAGCATAATGAGCTCGATACAACTCAGCGTAACAAGCTCGCTATAACCCAACATGACAGCTCGCCAGAAGTGGCAGCTCGCTGCAAGATGATACTCCGATACCCCGAGCTAAGACTCCCAAGTAGGGAGCACCCCGAGCTAAGACTCCCATGTAGGGAGCATCCCGAACTGAAGACACCTCGAGTTAAGCTCGTCAGCCTAGTTACCACCTCGGAGAAGCACCTCGGCACATCACCAGCAGCTCAGTGTAAGGTAGCTCGCTGCAGTGCAGCTCGACGTATCGTAGGAGATTTTCTGCCTGACAACCGTACCTACCAGGCTGCACCCACGTCTCTCGCTTGGTGGCGTCGTGCTTGCCAACCCTGAAGGTTCTTTCTTGTCTGGCAGGACCATATTTTGCAATGATCATCTTTGCCCGCCAGCACAGCTCTGACAGATAACAGCTAGGCACTCCAAGCCATTATTTGACAGCAGATCGCCGCAACAGAGATTTGGAGGCGGTTGCACTTGACATGTCAGAAGACCAGTATATAAGGACCCCAACCCCCAGGGGTGAAGGTATTGCGTGATCACCACCCTTGCTCTTTGATTTCTTTACAACTCTCTCTCTCTCTCTTTCTCTCCCAGCTTACTAACTTAATCGTCGGAGTGTTCCCGCCGGGTGAGCCCCCTGGGATCTTTCATCTTCTTCCTCACAAGTGTCTCTCGTCCATTGTCAGGTAGGAGCTCAACCACTTTCAGCTATGAGTGACTAGATCGCACACCATCAAGTTTGGACAGTGGGCCAGACCAAATCGATCCCCCAAATTATTCCTTAGAAGGGCAACATGGCATGAGATGACCCATGGGCCAATACAACACGGCCCATACTTTGTGCAGATCACTCATGGACCTTGCCATGCCGGCCCAACATAACCCATTTTATATCTCTATAAAATAATATTACCTATATAGTAACATATGATATGCCTATAAATTTATTTTATCATATTATATAATACATATAATATGACGGAGGAAACAAGGCAGAGACAAGTGAATAATGTGGTAGGTGGCAGATATTTCTAATGGGACTCACACAGACCCTTGTTGGTTGCAACCCTTTAAGGCTTTAATTAATTTTATTTCCTACTTACCTACTTCCACTTCTTTATGGTGGATGTAGAGCCACGTCATCCGCTTGAATGATAGATATGTAAACTTATTAAAGGACGCATTTATTACCAAAAGAGTTCACATCAGCTCTCTATAACGCCTCACAGGCCTCACAGCGAAATCACATCTAGTGTTCATTGGGAACGTCTCCCGTTCTGCATTTCCATTTCTCAACGAGGGTTTTTAAAATCCGATCGTACATAGAACCGTTTTGGAAACCAGTTTCTGGGTTGAATGGTCCGAATGAATGACTCGTTTTGATAAAAAGTAAAAATATTAAAAAAACAAAAAAAAGCTGAAAGCCATTGTTGAGGTCGACGATTCCACAGTTTAGTTATCTGGATTAGCAGTTCATTAACCAAATCAACAGTTTTTGGCCAAAAAATGGTTTTAAAGTAAAATTTTTTTTTGACCAAATCAAGATTTGCTGACTGATTCCCAAATTTTCTAGTCCAAACAGTCTAGTCTAGTCTAGTTTTAAAAACACCGATTCTCAATGCGATGCAGTAATGTACTGTGGAGTAGCAGAGCAGATGAACCTACGGAAACAATAACGATTTTATTACTTTTATTATCACCTTTGTTGACTTGTTGTTGTGACGGGACCATATGCTAAATGTTGGGGAGAATGACTGTTCAACTTAACTCAGAATTCTCACCTCTACCATGGAACCGGATCTTGGGCGCCTCAATGCACATCCATTGTGTATTGGGAACATCTTTCATGAAAAATAACTTATAAGTATGGGAAATATTCCCAATGCATGGTTGGATGTGCTTGTGAGGCGCCTGATGTCTCCCCCGCTGTATAGATGACTACTAGTAGATTATGATGAGGAGCTGAATCCGAAAATTTTACTGACATGGATTGGCCTACCTACTTATTAGAGTGCTATAAAAGTAAGTTCCATGTAAGCATTTTCTCACCATCTCACAGCTAACAGCTCCCCTTGCTTGCAGTTGCAGCTAACCCCTTCAGTTCTCCTCTCCTCATTTTCGCTCAATTCCTCCACCATGACTGAAGTCCTTCACCGGAGTAGTTCCAAAAAAGCCCATGTGGCCGTCTTGTCATTCCCATTCGGCTCACACACATCTTCTCTCCTCAAGTTCACTTCAAGGTTAGCAGTTGCTGCCCCAAGTGTGACCTTCTCCTTCTACAGTACGGGAAAAGCAAACAGCTCGGCTTTTGGCAGCAACACCCCCCAAAACATCAAACCTTACGATGTTGCAGATGGACTCCCCGTCGGCTACCAACATTCAGCCAACACGGTCGAGACGGCTATTGAGCTCTTCCTAAAAGCAACACCAAAGAACTTCGAGGAGGCTTTGGAGGTGGCAACTTCAGATATAGGAATGAAGATTACATGCGTGTTAAGCCATGCCTTCATATGGTTTGCAGCGGACTTTGCTGAAAAGCTTGGTGTTCCCTGGGTCCCCATTTGGTCAGCTGGGCTTTGTTCTCTGTCCGCTCATTACCACACGGATCTTATTCGCCATACAATTGCTGCCGTTTCTCATGGTATATTTCTATGTCTACTATTAGGGGTGCAAAATGGATAGGTTATTTGGGTTGTGTTGGATGCCAATCTATCCATCAATCACTCATCATATCCATTAATAACCCAACCTGACACAGACCAAACTTAGCCCAAACCATACTGATCTTAGACATGATTATTAGAAGATAGAGGAAAGAGAAGAAAATGATAAATTGAAAAACGGGTCGGCCAGCCTCTAGGTCAAGATTGACCTAACCCATTGGTATGATTGTTAGCTAAGGCAGTCTTTGGCACCGTGTTCATCTCGTGGATGGGACGGGGCCTTTCAGTCTTGTCCACGAGATGAACACCTGTTTGGTTGGTTGTGGACCGGTCCCGTTTACATCCCAATTTCTTATATATAGCAAAAACTCGTGGTTAGAGCCTGTGAATAGTCTATATTTTATCCCTTGCTTCACACTCTCCCCCTAAAAGACTGAAACCCTATTGTTTGTTTCACATTTTAATATTTTTGAAAATAAAATACTAATTATTTTATTTAATTTTTAAAATTTTTAATGCTTTTATCAATAAAGTAATATTTTTAAATATTTAAAATATATTTTTAAAAAATTTTAATTATTTTACTATTATTTTTATAAACAAAATTAATATTTATTAGTTAATATTAATTCATTGATGCATTTTTCAATATATTTATCTTATAAAATACAAAAATTAGATATTTATAATTAAATGTGTAAGTCATTCATAAAGTGTATATGAGATACATAGAATCAAAAAGTGTGGTATGGATCAGTCCACACAGCCTACAAAACACCAATATGAGTATAAATTAGTCCAATCCACACAATTTGTCCACAAATCAAATGAACTGCAGTGTGGTATAGCCCTGGTCCATACCTACCAATTTTTCGGAATAACCCCCAAGTTTCTAACTAAAGAATGTCCTTTGTGTGTCAAAGTAGGCATCGTTGGGCGTGAGGACGAGGCTCTAGGATTCATTCCGGGAATGTCAGCTTTGCGCATTGGAGACTTGCCCGAAGGAATTCTAGCCGGAGACATGAACTCGTCCTTCTCATGTATGTTACATCGAACGGGGCAAATGTTGCCACGTGGTGCTGCTGTTGGAATCAATTCTTTCCCAGACTTGGAACCGGTCATTTTGGAGGATTTAAGGTCAAAGCTACAGAACTGCCTCACAGTGGGACCCTTCACTCTCTTGACCCCACCACCATCAGGTTCAGATGAGACCGGCTGCCTCCCGTGGCTGGACCATCATCAGTCCCACTCAGTGGCCTACATAAGCTGCGGCACGGTGGCGGTACCAAAGCCGGCAGAATTGGCAGCCATTGCCGAGGCACTGGAGGAGAAGGGCATACCATTTCTATGGTCCCTGGAGAAGAAGCAACAGCTAAAGCTACCAAGTGGGTTTATAGAAAGAATGGGAGAGAAATCGGCAAAGATGGTAACTTGGGCCCCACAGAGCCGTGTTCTCCAACATCCAGCCGTTGGTGTGTATGTGACACACGCTGGGTGGAACTCGGTGTCTGAGAGTATCACCTACGGGGTGCCTATGATGTGCCGTCCATCGTTTGGAGATCAGAAGCTCAACGCACGGAACGTTTCTGAAGTGTGGGGAATTGGTATTAGACTGGAGGAATTTACTAGAGAAGCATTGGTGAATGCCTTTGATTTGATTTTGTCTAAGGATGAAGGAACTAAAATAAGGAATAAGGTTAGTGCCCTTGGAGAGAAAGCTAAAAATGCTATGGGACCCAAAGGTAGCAGCACCCAAAACTTGAATAAGCTAATCGAGATTATTCAAAAAACCAATTAGATCATCACGACTAGGGAAATCCTATATATGTTCTCCATTCTGTGTTCAACTAGTCATCTACTTTCATCATACCTATTTATCTATTTTCTCTTTTTTATGTATTTTTATCATTTTCTTTTGTTTTAGAATATAAAAGAATAATCATTGCCATCTGTACATTATTATAAAAAATTCATCATAATTTTTTACTTTTCATCATTTCTCTTAAACTCACCATAATTTATCAAAACGTTCAGGGAACCCCATGTAAGTAATTTTACATTAAATAGACTAACAAGTTTTCTTAGATTACCATTTTACCCCTTATTAATAATGTTTATAACATTACGATATTCCATCGGTTTGGAAAAATGTTGTTTTTCCCCAAGCATTCGAGAATAACAAGCCTAGCTAGGCTTGTTGGGATGCAAAGCTTGCACCCACCACAACCAGGGGAGTAAAAATCGAGAATAACAAGCCTAGCTATCTCTGGCATTTAACGACACATCGATGAGTTCTTGTGCCAAATTGATATCTATCATGTTGGGTTTCTGATGCTGCTCAATCCGAGGTAGTGCATGAACTGAGGAGAGCAACCAGATAATCCTTGCTGATTGGGCGATGCTGAGCTTACAAGGATGGTGCCGCACTATGTGATCTACGATCAAGGGAAGAAGTCAGAGGCCTAAGGGGTTATCCCCAGGTAGGCACTCTGACGCTCAAGTCAGTGGGAGAGTGGTGAATGGTTGGGTTGAGTAACAATATGGGTGCTAGAAGTTGGGATCCCTTACCTTGAGCATGGGGTGCATTTTTAATGTCAAAGATCCGTGTCCTGGTCAGATTGGGCTTCTGGGGTTGTCGGGATGAGGTTAGTCATCGAGGTATTCGGGATAGAGTCCCATTCCCCAGCGGAGTCGTCTTCCTTGCTCCTCTTTATTCGTAGTTGTGTTCATCCGTGTGTTGTGTACTTGACATGGCTGAAAGGATAATATGGAGGGCCACAATAAGAGCGTAGTTCAGCCGAGCTATGCCGATGTGGTTGAGCTATGCTAACATGGCCAGGTGATGACTGGGCGGCCATGTGTCTCTCTGGACTAGTTCAACCATGACCTGAACAGTTTCGATGTCTTTTCCAAACATCTCAAAGCTAGACTTGTACAAATCAAACCTTGTGCAATCTGTGAGAAAGTTAAAATTGTGGACATTAATCCTATAAAAAACAAGAAGGCAAGAGAACGTATCTAGAGGACTAAATGGAGAATTACATAACATATATGAACAAAAAACATTGCAAGGCTTTGACACTCCGATCAACTAAGTAGAGATGTGAAACAATAATGTGATTATTTGAGTCCCCATTGCTGATTTTTTGTGGTCCCCATTGCTACATTCTACCAACCATCTCTAAGAACCAGTCAATTGACCAATCTTTCTAAAACATTCAACCCTAGGAAGTTCTCGTGCAGTCTATTAGACTCACATGAGAAGCCCTAAGTTGGTTCTAATACCAACTTGTTTGGTAAAGACTATAATCAGTCTTGATTTAAATGTGGATTCAATAAGCATGCAAAGAAGAAGAAGAAGAAGAAGAAGAAAAAAAAAATGAAGAGGACAAAACCAAAAAAGAGTGTGGATCATCAATAGAGTTGCCGCCCCGTTCAACTATTTATATTAATAGTTTAAGCATGGTAAAATTCCAACACTGTTCCTACTACTTACATAAGTTAAAAGATAACTAAAATAACGAACCAACTATCATAGCTAACATACTAACAACAACATAAATAACATAAAGAAACATGCAACCATTTGCTATCCCCTAAAGTCATGCTTCAAGACAAGAATATCTATGGATCGGGAATCTACAACAAGAAAGGAACCCAAAGATGGAGAAAAATTGAGGATGTTACTTGAACTAAAGGCAACATGGAAATCACTCCTTAGAGGAAAATTCCATAATAAAATCAACGAAATATACCTTCCTAATACCAAACTCAACCAAAACTAGGTTATACTTACTAATCAAAATTGGTCATTTTTGGCAATAAAAAAACTAGCAAGTTGAATGAATTTCTTTAACTGTTCCTAACAAACAAATCCATAAAAAAATCCAAGAGAAAGAAAACATACAGCATAACAACTTATCCTCTGAAGTCAAATTGGATTATTTTTAGTTAAGGATGGGGATTTAAAGAGGACCCTTATGCATTTTGATAGATTTAGAGATGGAAGAGAGAAAGGGAAGAGAACAACTTTCGATACTGCCCCAACTTTTGCCCACCTCTCTCTCTCTCTCTCTCTCTCTCTCTCTTACTCCTTGTCCTCGTCCTCGTCCTTCTTCTTCTTCTTCTCTCTCCACTCTCCCTTATCTCCACTGTTGTAGCAACATATGACTAGTCTGGTCTTCCATTGTTTTGTTGCAAACAAAATATCTCACCATCTCTACGCAGTTCACCATTCAGGGGCAGTTTTGTCATAAAAATTGCATTCATGTTGATATAGAAACTTTTATTAATGATCACTAACGATGCTTTAGGAGGGATCGGTTTACACTAGATTTCTCTCACTAGGAAGTTCACTCCCAAAGGATCAGAGTGAGTGAGCAAATCAAAGAAAGAGGCACAAGAAAATAAACCATCAAGAGTTGGGGACCAGACTCTACTCTTAGTTGTAGTTTGGCCTAAATAGACCTTCTCAAGGGTTGAGAGCAAAAGCAATAGGGACTCACATTCATTTTTCCTAAATCCCCTTCCAAAGCCAAAGTCCTAAGAGATACTCAAGTCTAAAAGTATGCCAACCCTAGCAATAGGTTTGTTTTTAATGGTTGATAAAGAGTAGAGGTCTAGGAATTTAACCTTAAAAGGTAAATCCCGAACCCAAATGTCTTTCCGGAATAAAACTTTATTGCCACACCCAACATCAAAACGAATAAATTGAAGAAAGGTTGGTAGTACCTCAAAGATTGCCTTCCATGGGGAATTTAGGGCTACATTGGAAGCTAGTTTTTTATCCCATCATTTTCTACTTCACCATGAATGCTCTTAATGACCTTGTGCTATAACCTATCTTCTTAAAAAGGGAACCTCCACAGCCATTTCCCTAGGAGGGCCTTATTTTTTTTTAAGATGTTCCCAATACCTAGGCCACCTTTCTCCTTAGGTTACAAACTTGCTCCCACATCACTAAATGATTTCTCTTTTCATCATTAGGTTTTCACAAAAAATTCCTCATTATCTTCTCCAACTTTCTTACTATTTTCATTAAGATCTTAAAGGTGGAGAGGAAATAGGTGGGCATGTTCGCTAGGGTGGATTTTGTCAAGGTGATTCTTCCTCCCAAGGAAATATAATTTCTCTTCCATATTACTAACTTCTTTGTGAATCTCTTTAAAATTGGATTCCAAAAGCTTGCAGCTTTCGGGTTTATCCCCAAGGGCATACCTAGGTATTCTAGAGGCCAGATTTTCACTTCACAACCTAGCAAATTTGCCATGGCTTGGATATCCCCCTCCCATATGCTTATTCCAACTACACATATCTATCATTATGTATATCCTCTTGTGTGTCTATTAGATGAGGGGTCAAACAGGGGATTGTGATGAAGTTTGGTGGGATGACACTTTTGAACGTCTTAAATCAAATGGAAGTGGTGGATCTTTGATCAAAGGTGTAGATTGATTGATTTGGTTTAGGTCTAGGTTTTAGCAAATTGTTTATCAAATAACAAGAATGCTTGAAATGGAATCCCACTTTTTTAACTGTCAAAAGGAGTATGGTCGTGAAATTTCATGTGCCAGGTTTTTTTTTTGGTTTTTTGAACACAATGGTGAGTTTTGATCGGTCAAATGAAGCTGGTATAATAGGTGATAAGCTCTACTCGAAGATTTGTTGAAATAGGATCTAGGCTTGATGGTGGCTCGAATAGGGGAATTTTGTGATGAAATTCAATGGGTAGACACGGATTAAGGTGAGGAGCCAAGTGGAAAATTCTGGTCTAAAAAAGAAATGGTATATCTAAGTTTTCCAAATCTAGATGTCCAGGGCCATTAGAATGGAATTTTGGTGTTTTTTAGCTTAATCGTTGTAGATCTGCGGTGGGATTCTCTAGTTGATTGTATCATGGTGATTTTGAGGTGATGGATGTATTGAATCAAGGCCATTAGAAAGGAAGTTGGTGGATGTGTGACTAATTTATAGTTTCCCATGTATATAGGCCATATTTGAGTGGATGTCGATATTGATCTCATAGTTTTCATTTTCCCTATGGATAGTGTCAAAATAGGAATTTCTGGCTTTGTAAAGCATCAATTTGATTTATCTGTGGTTCCTAGTTTTGGGGTCTAAAAGGAGAGTACAAAAAGGTAGGGTGAAGGGATTGATAAAAAATTGGGTGCTAATAACTAGGTTACGGGCTTTCAGTAGGTTCATGGGTATTGTCCCTTTATAGATGTGAAGTATCTCGTGCCTAAGTTGTAGGATTCAAGCACTTAACTTAGAGACAAGGATATGAGACTGAGAATCCCAACATTCTGGTGGCTCCTACAACCTGTGCCAATGTTCCTTCAATGAGTAAATCTAGGAACCAACTAAGGATCAATTGGTCCTATTACTCCTACTCTAAATATGTTGAGTTGATGATATTCTTTTCCTTATCATAATCAGATGCAAATCTGGGTGGACAGAGAAAGGAACTAGTGGCATAACCGAAGAGTTTCACACCTCGTAGTGCTACTGTCATTTGGTATCACCATAGTACAAATTGTGGTGGTCTAACTTAATTGAGACAAATTGATTAATATTGAATGGAACACTGGCATTGAATGCAGAGGAAGTTGCAGAATGATCAAAAGCCATGAGCTTTGATACCATGAAAAAACTTGAGGAATAACTTAAATTTAGAGAACTAAAATAGATTTGAGAGAAACTTCACTGTATCAATACATTTATGGAGTTGTATATCATTAGTATTTATATATGTACATGTTGCTACCTTGGATGGGATGAGAGAAACAAGGTAATTACGCTTCCAGATGAGGGCCGGTTGATGAGTCCAAGGTTTGCTGTGGCCGAGGGCCTGCAGGTCAGTCCTACAAAAGAAGAGAACACGTTAGAGGCATTGGGTGCTAACCTGAGGCCGAGACTCTGACGGTCAAGTTTGTGAAGGTGTGATGGGAGGTGGATGA